TATAGGCAGAAAAAATGCAATTAAAAAAATTCAACTACTTAGATACATTATGCACATAAAATTACAAATTTAATTGAACATTATAATTTTTTATTTTTACCAAAATTTTCATTTCTAAAATTCAATCTTTTAATATATTACTTTTATTCTTTATTTTTTTTTAAATTCTACTAATCAGATTTTAATTGTTCTTTAAATATCCAACAAATTTCTTTTAATCATAAAAATAAATTTATATCTTTTTATTTAATTATATTATTATTTTATTTAACATTAATTTTTTTGTTAAAATTTTATCAATTCACATTATTTTTATATCAACCCCTCTAAAATAAAAAACATGGCTTCCCCTCGGCCTTCCGTGAACAATGCCAAGGTAGAATTATAAACAATGCAAAGCGAAGAGAATCTATAAAATTTCAACCTAAGCCTTAGGTTAACATTTAAGAAAAAAAAATATAGGGATAAAATTCTTGTAATTTCCAGGTCGCATGGTCTAATAAGATTCTTAGGAATAATTTGGTTTACTTTTCGAGAACTTTATTTAATCTTGAAAATGATTTATCAATTAGTTACATATATAATATCATGTGAAATTATCACATTCAATGCATCATAAAATGTGGTCCCCAATCATTAAATCTAAAATGAATTACCCTTTATAGCTTGGAAATTAAAAAATTATAATTACTAAAATTTAAATTCAAAATCTGTTAATTTTTGTATTTTTATTATATTTTACATAAAAATTACGTATTATAATTTATATCGATATAAAAATATAAAATATATTTTTATTTTATTAAATTCTGATACTTTCATATATTCTTTTATATTGTTTTTGTGTTGTAATATTGTATCGTATCTTATTTTAAATTATCAAATTTACTATTAAATTAATTTTTTTAAAAATAATTGCATAAATTTTCTTCCCTTTATTTTTCCATCATACACATCAAACATTATATTAAAGCTAATAGTAAATAATTTTCAAATTCGAGTAACTTTCTTCACCCTCAAGTCATTTTTTTTCTCATTCACAAAAATATTGCATGGGTTTTCAATGCATAATTTATCTTAGTATAAATTCATCATTAGACAAAGGACAAAATCACCATTTGACAATTATTCTCCAATAATCTCCAAAATAATACTTTACAAAATCTTAAGTTTACAAAATTATATCATTTATCAGTTAGTCGAATATACTAAAATTCTTATTAGCAAATCTTTTAGAATCAATAATAAAATATTTATTACTTGAAAACTATATCAAGTTAAAGACAAATGCTAATCTTGTTAACTCAAGTAGTTATCGAGATTAAGTCTCCCAAGATACAAACATCAAAATCTAAAAAAGTAAACAAAATTAAAGGAATGAGTATGACAACTCAATAAATAACCGACATCTTCTCAATTAGATTAAGAATGTCATAAAATATTTAGGTCAAAATACTAACTAAATGATTCAAAAATATTTTGGGTAATATTGTATTCACAAACATATTCTCAAAACCAAATTCTCATATCACAAAACGGAATCAAATATCACAAAAGTATAAATTTATTTAATCTTCTATAATATATTAAAACTACACTTAACTCCTGTTGTATAGGTCAGAATTAGAATTTTTCCTTTAGTGCAATGAAATAGAAGTATATCAAAAGTAACTAGATCATTGCACTGATAATCATAATTAACTCGTTAGTGCAATGAGAAGGAATAAAAATCATAGTAACCGCTTTAGTGTAATGGAATAAAAGTATATCACAAATAGTACAATGAACAAAAACTATTATTCTCAACTAGTAACATAGTTCAAAATCGATATTGCTATCACAAAGTACATGTCGACATGGCCAACAATTAAACCCAATTGGTAGGGTTAGAATATAGTCATACTAGGAAACAAAAACCACAATATATTTTTAGATTATCCAACATATACAAATTCAATATTTATAAATTTTCTTAAACAAAATCCATACAAAGTAAATTCCATAATCATTTCAAAGCAAAATTTCATATTCCGACAAACGATGGATATATAAATATATTATTATGAAATTATATTCGAAAATCAAAAACAATATCAAGCTATATTCCAAACTCATGACAAAGAAATCATATATACATTTTACGTGCTCAATCCGATTTATAAAACAAATGGACAAAACAATATATATTATATATTTTAACTCTAAATATATTGAGGTTGATTTTTATGATTTAAAAACTGAAAGGATATTAAATCACTTACCTAATGCGTTAAATCGAAACTTAAGCAACAAATCACTCAATTCTCTTAATATACTAATAATTCAAGAAATATTCAAAAATCAAAATTTAACCCAAAGACATAAATTTAACAAGGCAAACCTTCCTTGGGTTATCTTAAGCAAATTGGGTTGTGCGGCAATATTTTCAATAATTTCAAATTATTTGAAAATATTTTCTTTTAGCATATAAAACAAATTTCTTTTAATATAGCAAAATACCTAGAATTGAGTATAAATATGAAATTAAGGATTAAAGCATAAAAAATAGTAGCAATTTAAATTTTTACAAATATTTAACTTTTAACATTTAATATTAATCTTTTTTTGTAAATCTGAATATAATTTAATAGCCCTTTAACAATATTAATAACATAAAATTAATATAATAAAAATATATTAAAATAAGTAAAAATTCATTAAAAATAATATAACTTAAATTCAAGTAATTTATAACTAAATACATCAAATATTGGTTGGAAATCATTTTTAAAATAATTAAAAATGTTTTTTAAATTTTGAAAATTTTACATTTTGTGATCATTTGGCTTATTTTGAACCATAAAATCCCAAACATCATACGATTTTTATTGACAAAAGAAAGCATAAATTTAAAGTACGAATGTACTACTACAACTTAGAATTGTGTTTCGGCAAAAGTGATTTCCATAAGCCTAAGTTTCAAAAGCTAAAACTTGATAAATTATTACAAACAACCTAAATTTTTTGTGTTTTTGATTCATAAAACATACTTTGAGACTTTGATTCTCTTAGCTATAAATCATTTGAACAAACTAATTGTGTCACTAGAAAGTTTATATTTTGTACTATCAAAAGCACATAAAGTTCGATCAAATCAGCTACTAGAGTAAGGAGTTCTGATGGCTCAAAGTTTGGTGTATGTAATTACAAGAAACCCAAAAATCAACTTGAAACATTAAATTCTCCTAAATTACTTAACTAAATGAAGTGTCACAGATACCATTAGAAAGATCTTAAAAAGACCTTTTTATTAGTACTCACAATTTTGTCGAATTGTCACCGAAAAGCCAAAATATTTTTGAAATTGAAAAGATATAAAAATATAAGTTAGGGTTTGTAGAAAATTGCATAAAACATAAAAATTTCAAGGGTTTTAAGCAAAAATCTTATCTTAATCAATGATTTCTAGGATCGATTTGCCCTATCTCTTCCTCTCTTCCTCTATTCCTCTTCTCGAGTATTTTTTTTAAGTTTTTTTTTTTTTTGTCAGAGAAAACTATCAACAAAAGTTGTGATAAGGTTTTTTTTTATTTTATTTTCTTCTCTTTTTTTAATTTATTTTTTTACTAATGATACTTATGGTCTAGGTCACTGATTAAGCTATAATAACTTGGATTTGGGTATTACACCCTAATCACCCTTAGCTCTTCAAATTATTTTAAGATAAATATATTTTCATCTAAAAAATGATAAAATCATATTTTGTCTCTCCACAATTAATAATTTAGCCTTTATTTTAAGAATAATTGGAATGATACATTAAATTTCATAAGTTATTAAAATTTTTATTTGTAAATGTAATAAATAATTTGATTTTTTTTCAACAAAAAAATACCCTTTTTAATATACTCATTAATATTTCATCGAATTTTTTAATTCCTTAAAATAAAATTTTCTTTTCAATTAATTAAATAAGCATTTGACATTAATTATTATGTCAAAATATTTCTTTTTATATAGGCAGAAAAAATGCAATTAAAAAATTCAACTACTTAGATATATTATGCACATAAAATTACAAAATTAATTGAACATTATAATTTTTTATTTTTATCAAAATTTTCATTTCTAAAATTCAATCTTTTAATATATTACTTTTATTCTTTATTTTTTAAAAAATTATTAATTAGATTTTAATTGTTCTTTAAATATCCAACAAATTTATTTTAGTCGTAAAAATAAATTTATATCTTTTTATTTTATTATATTATTATTATTAATTTTTTTATTAAAATTTTATCAATTCACATTATTTTTATATCAACCCCTCTAAAATAAAAAACATGGCTTCCCCCCAGCCTTACGTGAATAATGTCCAGGTAGAATCATAAACAATGTAAAGCGAAGAGAATCTATAAAATTTCAACCTAAGCCTCACGTTAACATTTAAGAAAAAAAAATATAGGGACAAAATTCTTGTAATTTCCTGGTCACATGGTCTAATAATATTCTTAGGAATAATTTGGTTTACTTTTCGAGAACTTTATTTAATCTTGAAAATGATTTATCAATTAGTTACATATATCATATCATGTGAAATTATCACATTCAATGCATCATAAAAGGTGGTCCCCAATCATTAAATCTAAAATGAATTTCCCTTTATAGCTTGAAAATAAAAAAATTTATAATTACTAAAATTTAAATTCAAAATTTGTTAATTCGTGTATATATTACAATTTATATTAATATAAAAATATAAAATATATGTTTTATTTTATTAAAATTTGATACTTTTATATATTTTTTATATTATTTTTATTATATTATTATATCATATTTTATTTTAAATTATTAAATTTACCGTTAAATTAATTTTTTTAAAAATAACTACATAAATTTTCTTCCCTTTATTTTTCCATCATACACATCAAATATCATATTAAAACTAATAATAAATCATTTTCAAATTTGAGTAACTTTCTTCACCCTCAAGTCATTTTTTTCTCAATTCACAAAAATATTGCATGGGTTTTCAATGCATAATTTATCTTAGTATAAATTCATCATTAGACAAAGGACAGCCATTTGACAATCATTTCTCCCTACGTGCTTTTGTTTAGTCAAACATTTTTTTTTTCATGAAACAAAAAAAAGGGAATAAATCACTAGACTATAACTACATCTTTTACCAATAAAAACACTAAACTCCTGAGAGACCAAATCTCTTCCTCCAATATCAAAGTCGGAAATTCATGTTGCACAAGCTGGTATCAAGCATGAAAAGAACCCTCGCATTTTCTTCTGCATTCATCAACAAAATAAAACATGTCAGAAACAGCTTAACATAAACCATCAAACCAACAAAATACTAAACAGATTTCCAGCCAAATTCAAACCACCATTTTTTTTTTTTTTACAGAAAAATTTAGATGAATAAAAGACTCCCATTTTAAGGTTAGGCATAAAGTCTCATCGAAAACTTGTATTCGATTTATAGATATTTCACTAAAGGTGATTGGTGATAACGAAAATCAAATTTAAACTTTATAAGTGAAGTATTTGATGGCATTTAGACCTCAATTTAAAAATTATAAAATAAAACCTGAAATATTTCTTTAAATTATTATTTTATTCGTAGTGGGATTTGGTGAGTATTTTCAAACTTCCAAGGGATGAAAAAGACCCTTCCATTGAAATTAATGACTCATGTTGACAAAGAAATCAATATGCAACAGATTCAAAAATATTTGTTGATCATGTGATGCTAAACGAAATTGGTTGTTTCTATGTCATTATCACTTCCATTGACAACCCTCAAGATCTAGAACAAGGAAAAACAATAAACAAGGAGATTGAGAGGGGACTTACTCGCTTGGAAGAGTGGAGGAGCTCAGGGGGAATTTTATAGAGATCTTCATCAACAGGGTTGGGAGGTCTAACAGGCAATCTCTTGGGAGGAACGACATCGTTTTTTAGTAGCTTACTGCTAGTAATGTTATTATTATTGTTATTTGAAATGGGCACACGGTGGTGGGGATGTTGATGCTGGTATTTCCTTGGCGGCGCCGCCACGTCACAAACTCTCCCTGCCTTCTTTGTCTCCTTACCATGCTTTTCTCTTACCCTACTCACCTGCTATATGCCACCACCATTCATTTCCCACACACTCTATCATCTCAATTTACCTCAAAATCACTTGTGTTGTATTTACAGGACTCAAAAAATATCACTACATTATTATAAATTATAATGTACAAATTAATTTGTTAACTAATTACTAATTAAAATAATATATATATTTTACACATTTATATGAAATAAATATAATTCAGATCATACAGGAATTGTCAGATCATTTGCATAAGAATGGTTACAGTTATATTTATAAAATTTTTTCAATAACTTGTATATTTGGAAGAAATTTGTTAAATGAATGCTTATGTTTTTTGGTTACCACTCTCGAAGATGAAAGTAAATCTAGAATAAAAAGGGCAAAAAAAAAAAACTTCCAGGATTACTGTCTGGATTTCTGGAAAATAGTTTCCAGGAAAAATGCGCTGAAGAAATCATTTCAGCATGGCAATATTGCTGCGATGTTTAATTATGAAAAAAAAAATCCCAAAAACAAAAGGGCTTGAAGACAGATTAGTGCTTTAATTCTCTATGTCCCCACTGTACAAAGACAGTTACATAGTTCTGCAGAAACATCAGAAATGACTCATACTTTTCTTTCATTCAAAATTTGGATTTTCTACTTTGCATCAGTAACTAATAAGCTAAGCAACAAAATTAACAGTACAAATATGAGAAAGAAGAAGAGATGTTGATCGAATGTCGAACTCTTAGTTTAAGTAATCAGATTTAAATATGGACAGTAAAAAAAGAACTAACCTTTCTAGGAGGAACAAGATAACGAGAATGTTTCCTTAAATCAACAGTATATAAGTCAGCAGGAATATAAGGATTGGATTCGCCAGATGAAGAGCTGAATCGAATCAAACCAGCTTGTCTAGCACATTCAAAGTACTGAGTTATAGGCAGTTCATTTGCGTAGTCCCAGTCTCCAAATGCTGGTATCTGACCGCTTCTCTTGCAATAATCCTACAGGAATACAAAGAAAAGAACAAAACCCCACCACAGAATCAGCCTTAAGGAAGAGATTCAAGATTCGAAGAAGTTGAAAAAGAAAAAAGAACTTACACCCATTGTGGGGTTGTTACTTGTGACAGTTGCTACTAGGAATTGATGAAGAAGCCAGAAGAAAGAGAGATTTCTTTTAAAGAGAATGAAAGCAAAAAGGCAAAAAAAAGAAAGATACAGGGATTCTCAACAAAGCTACAGAAGATATAAATTCTAGTTCAGAATTACACAGAAGAAGAGAATCTACAGATACAAGATAGAGTTCACCTCATTTTCTCTTGTGGAAACACAGTTATCAGAAAAGCAGCAAAATAAAAAAAAAAAAGACAGAACTCTACCATTAGGTGCTTGCTTTGTCAACTTTTTTATCTAACCCTTATCCCATGATTTGGATTTTTTTTGTTTTAATACATTTTTTTACTATGTTTCTGTTTTTTAAATTTGATTTTTGGCGTTTTTTTGTTTGTTTGTTTAATGGTATCACAAGGCAAAGTCAGGAAATGGGACCCTTAAGAATGCAGACTGTGTTCAAATTTCACTTGGATTTGAGAGTGGTTAACTATTACAGAAAGTGGTTGAGGTCGCAGTGTACTGAAAAGCCAGTTTTTTTGGATTATCAAAGTTTTGTTTTTATTTTGGACAAAAGGGGTTATCAATGATCTGAAAAGGCTTGGATATTGCATAGTAATGGCTGTAGCCAGTGAGCAATGAGCAACAGTTACCCTTTGGTGCCTGCGGTAAATAGCTAATCTAGAATGAGAAAAGAAAGTGCTATCCGGACAAGTTCTGTTCTGCTATGTCAGATGGTCAAAGTTATATCCAACCTAATTCTGATGTTGTGTCTTCTGATTGAAGGATATGGAACTTCTATTGGAAAATTTTGGCCTGGCTACCTTCGGTGACGTGAGATCCAAGGTCATTTTTTATAGGCCAATCGCACGGGCGTGCATTTGGGGAGCACCCCGTGATGCGATTGGCCTCGGTTACCCTTCAGTCACCAACGGAATAGAAAAGGATTCAGTGGTTTATTTAATTTAGACATGTAAATTTAAAATATGATACATGACTTGATTTAAAACTATGCGAAAAAAATATAAATTATTTTGTATTTTTATATTGATGTAAATTATTACATATAACTTTTTATGAAATATTATATGTATACATAAATTATTAATATTTTATATAATATAAAATTATATTTATATATAATTAAAATATAATTTATATTAAAAAAAATATTTTATAAATATTATATTAAATTAAAATTATTAAATTAATTTTGAATCAAATCAAATCAATTATGATTTTACATATATAAAATCAAATTAAATAAAAAATAATATTTTAATATCAAAATTAAATAATTATTTTATAAAATTGAATCAAAATCGAACGATTAAAAATTTGCCTTAACTCGATCTATTGCCCTCTCTACTAATGATTAGGGGTGTAAATGATACATTAGTACTCGCAAGTTATTCGGGTTCAATTCGAATAAAATTCGAATTCGGTTCGATTATTATCGAGTCGAGCTCGAGTAGTTCGACTCATCGATCGAGTCAAGTTCGAATATTTTTATACTCAGTTCGAGTAGCTCATGAGTCTAATCGAACTTTTATATTTAATTTTTTATTATTATTATAATTAATAAAATATTTCGAATTCGAGCTCGAACTCAAACACAAATAATCAAATTTTTGTTGAGTATAAGAATCGAACTTATTTTTACATATTTTAGAGCTTAATTGAGTGAGTTCAAAGAGCTTGATTCGATCACGAATCGAGCTCGAATTAAAAAAATAAAACTCGATTAAGTTCAAGTCGAATATCAAATCGCGAATTGAGAATCGAACTCGAACTTAAATTTTTCACTGTATCGACTCAACTCAACTCGATTACATCTCTACTCATGATAAATGCCAAAGCTACTCACCCAACTGGCCAGATCATGACATAAGAAACTGATATTTCCACCCTTCCTCGGCTAAAGTAAGCGTCATTTGAAAGTTCATAAAATTTTAGGGTTAAGAATTTAAAACTGTGATAAGTGGGATATCTGCTTAAAATAACGTTTTGCCAGAAAGTGTTTCTGCAACTCTCAAGTCTCAATCATGTCTTGTGGTAAAATCATAGGGGTAAAAAACGTATGTTTACAAAGTTATAGAGCAGCCCAATTCATAATGGCATCTCGAAAGGTACATAATTTATTGGGTGATCAGAGATAAGGTGATTAGTACATAGTTTGCATTTAAAACCATCCAAAAAGATGAACAAAAATGGCTTTCAGCCTGTGACATTACAATGTAAAAAGTAGGGATGAGAAAAAAATTTTAAAATTTTAAAATTATAATATTTAATTTGATAAGAATCAAGTTTGGGTATTAAATATGCATATTAAATTTTGAATAAATTTTGAATCAAGATGTAAAAAATTAAAAAAATTGAACTGAATTGAATTATATATTTTTATTAATTTATATATATTTTAAATTTTTATAAAATAAAATAATTATTTTATATATAAATTAATTTAAATATATTAAAATTTTTATTAAAATAATATATTAAAATTTAAAAATTGATAAATTAAATCGAATTCGATTTAAATCGAATCAATTTCAACAAAAAATCAACTTGAATTCGGATTATATTTTAAAATTTTATATAATATATATTACCTAAAAAAATCAAATTGATTCCAATATAATATGAACTGGTATTATCCCTCTGTAAAAGTAAGATTTGAGAAAACAAAAAATTTAAAGAAAAATTTTCCTTTAAACATTAAAAAAAAATTTTTAGACATCTTAAATTTTTTTTAATATCTTTCCTAATTATCTAAGCACTACATTTATTGTAATTACTCAATATCCAACCACAACTCACAGCCAACAGACATCTATTGTAATTTCAAAAAAAATTTTGGATTAATTTTTCCTATTCACCAACTTTCTTTTCATCCAATACACAATGTTAGAAGATGACAATGCCTAAATCTAAAGTGAATATAAGCATTTGCCGATCAGCTCTTGTCATTCATTTCTAAAATTGTTCTCTCATTTCATTTTTGTTCTATATAAGTAACTGAAAATAACCCTTTTAAACTCACAACCCAAAGTTCTAACTCCCAAGAACAAGAAAATTTTCTTGGACATGAGATTTTCTTCTCACTTTTTTTCTTTCTCAGGGTCTTGACATGAGGGATGGGGACTTCGTTTCTTTTTCATGGAAAGATGGGAAGACAAAGAAAAGGCGAAGTCTTTTTCTTGACTCAAGCTGCAGCAGCCTAGCTGCGTGGAGTGACACAAGGTTACCTACTACTATTTGACTTGGAGAAGCAAAAGAAAACCCACTTTGGGGCTTGAGCAAGGACCAAATGCCACGTGCCACGAAGGGTCTGAAAGTGCCACCAAATCTGCCGCAGCATGGCGTGACAACTGAAAACTACCTAGTGAAAAAACAAAGGCAAACTTTGACAGGGCTTCATGAAGTCAAAAAACTTGGTGGAAAAATATGGTATAAAATCAGACGTGTAGCTAACCTATCTTGTTGTTTAGCTTGAAGAAAAATGGCGGTGGGGGACCGACCATGGAAATCAGAACACGGGTTGGGAATGGAAAATTTGTTCACGTGAACCTCAAAGGAAGGAGAAGATAGAAAAAGAAAAACATGTTCTTCAAATCTATCAATGAAGAGGGCAACCCGCACACAATCTGCTAGAATTCATTATAAATTCATTGCGAGATTTAGATAAAATTTGTAAAGTTTTTAATTAAAAATAATTAAATAAAAATTAAAATCAATAAATTAAAAAATTTTATTATATAAATTAAGTGTGTAAAATTTTTAAAAAAAATTAATAAATATATATATATTTTTAGATAAACTTTTTTAATAAAAATATTGACAAAAATTTTATCATTAAATAAGTGTCAATTAAATTTAAATTATAAATAATATTTTTAATAATTTTTTATATAATATTAATTTTTACATTAAATTTTATTAATTTATCAGTTTGAATTTTTTATTAAAGTTTTTATTATATTATTTAAAAAAAATTCACAAATTTTATGTAAATTTTCTCACAGAACAAAAATTTTTTGTTTCAAATTTCTTCCATCCTAATGATGGAATCAACAAATCTTTAGTCATAAAACATTCTTTTAGGAATGTGAGTTGGGTTTGTAGTGAATTCAACTCTCACTTGAGATGTTAAAAACTTTTTTCCAAACATGAATTTTGAGGAATAGAGTGATAGACATACTATGAATCCAATGCTTTCAATTCAAATAAAATATGTAGTTATTATTGTGCTAAACACTTAATTACATGTCAAAGACTTTAATGGTTAAAATTAGAAAGAATTTTCAATTTAACTCAAACTGATAAAATTTAAATTTTTTTATGATAAAAAAAAAGTTAAAAGTCAATAAAAAAGAGATTTAAAAGAGACTTTAATATGGAATTATAGTCCAATGATTAAACCAAGTGAAAGAAAATAAAGTGACTGTCTAAGAAGTTAAAAGCAGGAACTTTTTTATAAAAATATTTTTTTAAAAAAATTATCTTTTATTTTTAAAAGTAAAAAAGCAATGTTTGGATTAAAAATAAAAATTAAAAAATTAAAAATTAACAATAAAAGTTATGACTTGTTGCTTAAATAGGTAAATATTTTATAATTTTTATATTTAAATTAGTATAGTTAATTCGGTTTTAATCAATTATTTGTATTTTTTTTATTTATGAATTATATATAGAAAAAATATTTTATTCACTATTAGTGATTCTACGATGGAGATTAAAAAATAAAATAAACATTAATTTTTTAATCTCCCTTATAAAATTAAAAAATTATCTTATCCGCATAAAACGAAAAAAATATGTTATCCAAATAATAATAATAATAATAATAATGCACATGATCAGGCCCACATCTTGGGTTATTGGCTCATTGCTTGAGTTGAGCTTAAACCATATCCAAGGCCTAGAATAGAAGAAACCAGCTTAACCCAACTTGTTAATTAGGCCTTGCTCTGAAGCATAATTGGATGAACTGAGGTGAGCCTTTAAAAGCCTTTTTAATCTTGGTACAACTAATAACAAAGCCAAGTTTTTTTTTTTTTTTTTTTTTTTTTCTGTTACTTATGAGTAATTATTTTTTATAATAACCGAATATCTATTCTACCATTTTTGAATGAATTTTTTCAATTTTTCATTAAAATTGAACAATTTTTAATTTGCATAGGTCGACTTAATAAATCTTGGATAAATTCAATACTCCCACTCCAAAATTTTTAAAATTAAATAAGAATATTCCAAGATTATTTCAAATGTATCAAAATTTATCAAGATTCAAAAAACTCCCAAAGTTCTTCAAGATTCACCGAGATTTAATTTTTTTTTCAAAATTTTTTACAAACAGCAAATTAAGTATATTAAGAATAAAAAAAACTTATTTAATCAAAAAATAAGGAAAATTAACTTATTTAAGTATAAAAAAACAAATTTAAATAATTTTATTTTGTAGAGTTATCAAGTTTCTAGTTAGGTACTGGTTGATTTCTAGAATTTGCGTCATCTTCTTGACCTCAGCATGAAATGCTTTAGTTTCTCTATACAGGTTCTTATGGAGTGCATAGCTTTTTAATTAAGCTACTTGGGCTAAAAAAGGAAATTATAGATATTAAAATTTAAATTTTAAATTTATTAAATGTTATTTTTTAAGGGTGATTAAATAAATCAATTAAAACAAATTTCAGCTTCAAATTTATACTTCCGTTACCATAGCTAATATTTATATATATATATATATATATATCACTATTTCTTAAAATAATTATATAAATCAATTGAGCTAAACTCCTGGTTCAGGTTTATACTTTCGTCACCGTAGCTGCTATGTTATTAGGTGTATCAACATCATAATCATCAAATTTTATCAGATGTGAACAATATGCAAAGCCACAGAATATTTTTAGAACATTGATTCTGCTGTTAAAATAACATGGTTCAAACCTAATTAAACACACTAACAGTTATCTCTCGTTTACCTAAAAGAAGAAAAAAAGCAAAAAAACATCATAGTGATTGCTTAAGCAATTAGTTTGGCTGCTCATAATCTGCTGCAATGTTAAAGCCAAAAAAAGGGTTTGATCTTTATCAGTCTGGTATGCATGTGAATGGTAGCTGTCCAGAAGTAAATAGCACACCAAGCTGTTTCTTACGGGAATCATTTGTCAGCTTTCAGATCACCTTTTAATTGTATATAGACTCTAGACAAATCTCAGACTAAAGGCATTTTAAGTAAATGAAAGTTGATCATCAACCAGATTTAAAATCTGTTTGCCTCAGAATGAACCAAATGAAAACAATGTAGCAGTGACTGTAACAGATTGGTATGGGGATCAATAACAGCATAGAAAGAACAATCAAATGGAATTGAATTCACTGTTATGATTCTGTCATGGAATCAATGTAAGCCAACTGATAAAGATGATCACCAAAATTTTCATTTAATTTAAAATACTGTAGACCAAAAACTAGATTCAAAATTAAGGTCCATTGTTCTTCGGATGATTGTGTTGTCTATTCATCATCAGGACCGCAAGGTTCCAATCTGCCCAAGCAATCAATCAAACGATGCCATCATCTTGTTTAGGATCGTCTCATATTATAAAGTCTTGAAAACTCTGAATGTGGTAATAGATGTTGCGGTCCATGCAATGAAACATTTTCTTCAGAAAAACCTTGGGTCCACCTTTGTGATCCGTTTCAGAAGTAACCCCCAGCTTATATTGTTCAAGACTCTGAAATTATAGCATATATGACATAAAATCAATTTTATACCATATTTCAAAAGCACAAGCTGTGTGTTGGTTTAGAGCAAATGAAAATTTTAGTCTCGAGAAACAAACAAAATAAAGGTGAGAAAATTTGTTATTTAGAGCCCACAGACATAACCAAGATTCCTCATAATAGATACATAGAAACAATAGGACAATCCTGGAAAGTGGGAGGGAACGTTTTTCAAATGTTTTAGGCCGGTTAGTAATCGGATTGGTGTTAGACAACAGAGCTTGAAAGTACAATCACAAATGGATAAATAGGGGAAGCTGAAGGTCAACAACAATCAGGGTGAGTTGAACAATGATTGTATGATCAACAGGTGAGGGAAAAAAAAATGGGTGGCGTTGCTTGGACAAAGAAGATCACTTGCTCAAGAAATATGTAGAGCGATATGGAGAAGGGAAATGGCATCCAGTACCTCTTTTGGCTGGTAATTATATGAATTATTTTGTAGAAGAGGACGTTCAGCTCATCATTAAACTTCACGAGCTCCTGGGAAACAGGCAAGTTATTTACTCCTTTTGCTTAAATCCATCGCTTTCCCCTCCCTCTCTGATCTCTTTCAGTCTCTCTCTCTTTGCTTAAATGATCATTTCAACTACTTCTTGCATGCAGAATATATAGAGTACTTAATTATATATATATGTGTGTGTGTGTGTGTGTGTGTATGTGTGTGTGTTAATTATTTCTTGGTTATATTTGATGCACTGATACTGTGTTTGTGATTAATATAATGTCACCTCATTATTAAGCATATAAAAATATATTGTCAGAAATGAATGGATTGAGCTATATTGACAAACTCATGAAATAAAGTCATGTAGGAATGTAGGGGATTAGTTTGTGTAAGAATCTTTAATTTCCTTCTTTTATGACAGAAGATAGTAAGATTTCAGATTAAGTAAACAAAGCTTACTGGTACAATGAAATGTGGTTTATGTTCCTGATCAGGTGGTCACTGATTGCTGGGAGACTCCCAGGTAGAACAGCAATTGATGTAAAGAATTATTGGAATTGCCACCTGCGTAAAAAGCTCAATGCTCAAGAAACTGCAAAGGGAGATCAAAATGCTATTACAACAACAGGCTCAATAAAACCAAGAACCCCGGATCGAATTCCACCAAGTAGGCAGCCAATAATAGAAGAAAGCAGCATGTCGATGCCTTTGCAATATGTTGAAGTTGATCAACGAGGCCAGGAGCCTGCGAAAGAAGAAGAAAGCAGCCTAGGAGTTTTGGCTACACACTTTGGCTAGTTTGATGAAGTTAATGTATTGAGTACTGATGAAGGCTGCAGCAAATGGGATTGGGATGATCTGATCTCAGATATGGATTTATGGACTGATTAATGGTGACAGTGATTAAGTTTAAATTCTTGTTTAATGCAACAATATATATAATATATGTATGTTTGTAGTACTGGATCTTGTTTAACAGTTAGCTGCATGAATATTAGGAAAAGATAAATAAATAAAAAAGCTGCATAGATATGAAAAAATAAGTTCATTTTCAGACATAAACAGAGTTCTTGTAGTTTCATCCCAATTGGTATACACAAAGGAAATAAAAAGGAAAAGGAAGTGGCAAATGTATACTATCTATCTGATATAAGTCATTTCACCATCAAGTTCAAATTCTTCACAGACAATTTCTAATTCTCCGAATAAAGGTAAGCCTAATGCTTCAAAATCATTCCTTTTGATTGTTTAATGGGATGGAGTTAACTTCTTCAACTCAAGGCAAGTGGGTAAGGCCTCAACAGAAGGCTCATTGTTGGTGCTGGTGCTGGTGCTAGCATCTTTCTTTGGTATGACAACTAGCATCCACATGGGACTCTACTATCCCGTACTTGGATCGTAAAGGATTAGATGAGAGGATTACTCTACATCAACATACATACATACATATATATATATATGTCTATTTTTTTAATTATATTATTAAAAAATTCAATTATTATTGCATAAAAAACTTCAAGGATATAATAAAATCATATAGTGATTGCGTTTTACATTAAAAAATTAATTTACTGAGTATTCATTAGCGTATAACAAGATTATCATATTTTTATTTATAAAAAAAAATTTGTAGTAAAAACATTATAAAAAATTTAAAAGTTATTTGGAGTAGAAGATAGAGTTCAATGCAAGTTGTTTCTATAAAAAAAAATAGAGATGTTTTTAAAATAATAACTAGCAGTAGGCTTGTGTCACGGGTCGAGACTTAAGCTCCGAACTTGCACGGCTCTGGGACCCGGGCATTCACCCTTCCGGCGTCTCAGATCAGCCTTCCGCCACGGTTCACACCCTTGTGAGGTATTGTCCGCTCTGGCCCTCCTGGCCTCACGGTTTTGTCCTACAAAAGGCGCCTCACAAGGCGGAGATGGTGTGAACCCTTTGATACCCCAATGACCTTCCTATTATGTTCGATGTGGGATTTAGGACTCCCCCTTAAGTCCGTGACATTCTTCCGCACCCAACCTCGTGACGCCCTCGTCACGGAGGCTGGCCACCTTGCCTACCTCCCTCGAGGTGCTCGGCGTGGATCGAACGGTTTATGGCTGGCTCTGATACCACTTGTCACGGGCTCCGACCTTAGACTCAGAATCCGTGCGGCCTTAGGCTTGGAATCTCCTCCTTTGTGCCTAAGTCAGCCTAAAACACAAGTGTGCGGGCACTAGAACAATGGGAATGGCTGATTACGCAAGTTAAAGAGAAACAGGACAAGAAGACAGAATTCTGGAAATGCTCTTGTATTCACTGAAACAGAAGTGTTTGATGGTGTACAAATGAGGGTGAAGCAGCCCTCTATTTATAGTTGAGGCTCCAGCTACAACTTAATGGCATATCCCTAGAATAAAGGTTAAAATCATGGGAATACAATCAATCAAGATGCTGGCTCCTGATTTTCAGGGTCAACCAAATCTGCCAGGATACTGATGCTGATCCTGCCTGGTTCCAGAAGCTTCCCTTGCGTGTCCAGCACCTTGGGCCCTTCTGGATGTGGTGCAGGCAGCTTGTATGACAGGCCTTGGTCTCATGGGCTGGCCTGCAAGTCGGGCGGGCGTTCTGAGCTCGTTTGCTAGGCTTTGCACACAAATACCAGCCAGCACGCTTGGTCTGTGGGCCTGAACCTCTGGCTCGCCTGCTGGTCTGCTTGATGTGCCTGGAGCGCCCGTCCAGGGAGTGACATTCTCCCCCACCTGATTGCGTAACACCCTCGTTGCGTCTTCTGCATGGTACAGCCTGATCTGGTCCCCGAACTGCCATAAGTCCTCTGCTGGTTCCCAGCTTGCCTCACTATCTGGAAGTCCCTTCCAGCGCACTAAGTACTTATGTCTTGGTTGATAGTTCTTCCGTCTCACCTTCCGGTCAGCTATGATGCTGTGGACCTCCTTCTCATATGAGGCCTTTGCTCCCAATGGCGCACGCTTCGACTCTGCCCGTCCTGGATCTCCCTCATCCTTATGGAACGGCTTGAGCATGCTCACATAGAACACCGAGTGTACCTTCGGCTTGGGTGGCATATCCAGCTTGTAGGCAACCTTGCCTACTCTCTTGACTACTTGGAAAGGTCTCTCATACCTCCGGACTAGGCCTTTGTGTAGCCCCCTATGGCGCACAATGGGATGCAGCTTCACCAATACCAAGTCTCCAACCTGAAACTGCACATCCCGCCTATGCTGGTCTGCCCACTTCTTCGACCTCTTGGCCGCCTTATGTAGACAAACTCTGGCCAAGTCAGTTTGCTCCTGCCATGCCTTGGCAAACTTGTATGCTACTAGATTCGGCCCTGTATAACCTGCAGCAATCGAACTAGGTGTTAGTGGTTGTTGCCCTGTCACAACCTCAAATGGGCTGTGGTTCGTTGCCTCGCTCCTTTGCAAGTTGTAGGAAAACTACGCAATATCTAGCAGCTTTGGCCAGTCCTTTTATGTGGCACTCACATAGTGCCTGAGGTAGACCTCCAATAGTCCATTCACGCGTTCTGTCTGCGGATGCATGCTGGTGGAAAAGTTCAAATCTGACCCCAACAGCTTGAACAACTCAGTCCAGAACCTGCCCGTGAAACGCCTGTCCCGATCACTAACAATGGTCCTCGGCACTCCTCAGTACTTCACTATGTTCTTCAGGAACAATCGAGCTGCCTCCTCGGCTGGGCACTCCTTGGTTGCTGGAATGAAAATTCCATACTTGGAAAACCTGTCCACCACTACCATGATGCTTTCAAACCCGTCTGCTTTGGGTAGACCGACTATAAAGTCTAGAGAAACACTCTCCCATGGTCGCTCTGGCACTGGCAATGGCTCCAAGAGACCCCATGGTTTCTTGAGCTCCACCTTGTCCTGTTGGCACACAAGATAAGTCTTCACATAGGCCTCCACATCGTCCCTCGTGTGCGGCCAGTAGTACTAGTCCTCGATCAGCGCCAAGGTGCGGCTCACTCCTAGGTGTCCAGCCCACCTTGAATCATGACATTCTTGCAAAACTTCTTTGCGAAGCTTCCCATGCTGCGACACAAATAGCCTACTACCCCTGGTGTACAGCAAACCATCCTGCAACCAAAACCGCCTAGTCTTACCTTGCTGGGCGTACTCCATCAGAGCCTTGGCTGTAGGATCATGCGTAAGTCCCTCCTTAATGCGCGACACCAATGACCCCTCTGGTTGGCTAATGGCAGCAATGTTAGCCTTCCTGCTCAGGGCATCTGCCACTAGGTTCGCCCGCCATGGCTTGTACTCCATCTGAAAATCAAATTCCGCAAGAAAATCTTGCCATCTCGCCTGCTTGAGGGACAGCTTCTTCTGCGTCTGGAAGTAGCTGGTTGCCACATTATCCGTCCTCACCACGAACCTCGACCCCCAACAGGTAATGGCGCCAAGTGCGCAAGCAGTGCACCACTGCAGTCATCTCTTTCTCTTGGACCGTGTACTTGCGTTCAGTCTCATTCAGCTTCCTACTCTCAAACGCGACTGGACGTCCCTCTTGCATCAACACGCCCCCTATGGCAAAGTCTGATGCATCCGTATGCACCTCATACGGCTTGGCATGGTCTGGCAAGGCCAAGACTGGCTCCTCTGTCACAGCCCACTTCAACCTGTCAAAGGCTTCCTGGCACCCTTCGCTCCACTTCCATGCTCTCCCTTTCTTGAGCAAGTCAGTCAATGGCGTGGCTATTGCTGAGTGACCCTTGATGAAGCGCCTGTAGTAGTTAACCAGCCCAAGGAACGATCTCAACTCAGTGACCTTGGCTGGCGGTTGCCACTCCATGATGGCTTGTATCTTGCCTTCATCCATGCGTATCTTGCCACCTCCCACTATGTGGCCAAGGAACGGGATCTCCTGTTGGGCGAATGAGCACTTCTCCCTCTTGACAAATAGCTTGTGCGCCCGTAACACCTCGAATGCCTGTCTCGAGTGGTCTACATGCTCTCCCAAAGTCTGGCTGTATATCACAATGTCATCCAAATAAACCATAATAAATCGATCAAGGAATGACTGAAGTACCTTGTTCATAAGGGTGCAGAATGTTGCTGGGGCATTCGTGAGTCCGAAAGGCATCACCAAGAACTCATACGAACCATACCGAGTGACACATGCTGTCTTTGGCTCATCTCCCTCCGCGATCCTGACTTGATAGTAGCCCGACCTCAAATCCAACTTGGTGAACCACCTTACGCTTCCAAGATGATCGAACAAGTCCGCAATGAGTAGGATGGGGTACTTGTTCTTGATGGTCAGCTTGTTCAAAGTTCGGTAGTCTATGCACAGTCGCAACGACCCATCATGCTTGCGCTGGAATAGAACCGGTGCACCATAGGGTGTTTTCGATGGCTTGATGAAGCCAGCATCAACTAACTCTTTGAGCTGCTTCCTTAACTCTTCCAACTCTGGTGGAGACATTCGGTAAGGGGCTCTGGCTGGTGGCTTGACCTCGGACACCAGCTCGATCTTGTGGTCCACCTCCCTCTTAGGTGGCAGCTTGCTAGGCAGCTTTGCGGGCATCACATCACTAAAAGTCTTCAGCACCTTTAGCACCTCCAAGGGTGACTCGGTCTCCTTCTCCCTTGGCTCATCATATTTCAGGGCTGCCAAGAAGGTGTCTTCCTGTCTGCTTACCGCCTTGGCAAATTGGATGGCTGACACCACCCGTGACCTAACTCCAGACCCTCTCCTCAATGGCACTAGGCATTGGCACCGTGCATCCAAGATGCAAACACAATCAGCAAAAGGCACAAAGAGGGCGTTAATCCGAA